AGGTAGTTACAGCTTTCTGTATGTTATCTATTGACCAGTAATCTATTCTACCAGAAATTCTGTTTGTAGCTGTTGTTTGTGACTGTTTCTGGTATTTTATTTCGCTAACGCACTTGTGTAATGCTTAGGATTCGACAATGGTCTTCTGTACAGATCGTTCTCTGCTTTCCATTAATCCCGTTCCCATTCATCAATTTTCACTGTATGTCTTTTTCAATTCTGTTAACTTCGACTGTCTTATCACTTAATTTACCACACCTGAAAAGGATATCACAGGACATTTAGTCTCTGAAAATCATCGCGTTGGTTGTTAACATAAGTTTTGGAGTTAACAGCGTTTACAATAATTTTGTACGTATTTATAGACCTGATGAACGAGAAACAACTAATAACATGAATGCAACTCATGCATATTATATGTTGTCGGAATATGGAGCAAGTCCCTTTTTGTATATTTTTTCTTATGAGTAGTCTGTGTTCCATATTAAGTGCTGTTTCTTTCGTTGTTTTCTGTATTTTCATTTTACTGGTCTCAATTTTAGGCTTGATTGCTACTATTATTTCTATGTTGTTTGAACATACTATACCCAAACTAATTTTCTGATGCTGTCAAGCATTCCAGTAGCTGTTTTATCTTCGCTTTACGTAACGTCGTTAATGGTGGTCAGGTCACTAGACTGGTGTATTTTGGTTTATATTACATTAAATGTTCATCTCTTTAGTGGTTCATTTTGAAATAGGTTTCTTGTTTTACGGATGCTTTCTATCAATGGCCTTTAATTGTCCATCATTGGAACAAACGGAACTGGTTCACCCGTTTTCCTTAGGTAACTTATTGTTCTTTAGATGAGAAGAATGTTTTTCCTTCTGTGAAAATTGAGTTGCACCTATTGAACGAACCGATTCAAAAAAATACTATTCGGTACCATTTCCGTATATCTTCTGCATCATTTCGAACGCCTGTTAGGTTATTATGAGGACATTGTTGGATATTGGCGTCTTATGAATTGCTATTCTCAAAAAGACGTCACTGCCAAACTATCGACCATTGGTGCTTGCGTGGCATGAACTCATTTTCATTCGTTTTCTGCTTAGTAACATTGGTATTATTTAAACATCGCGTGCCGGATAATGGATGAACATCTCTGAGGAGCCCTTTGCTGTTACGAAAAGGACATCTAGTGCTCCCAGGAATTTAATGATTGTCTAGCCTAAATGGAATTTTGAGCTTCCATTTTAGCTCATAGTGGACTTGTAGTGTTGTTATATTCACCACTCGATTACGCAAGATAGGACATAAAACTAGCAGGAGTCAAATATGTAGGACGCTGTACAGACGCGAATCACAAGACAGAGAACGTAAGAGAAGTGATTGCTCCGTGAAAATCAAATATTTGTAGAAAGACATATGTACTCATTGTTAATAATGTCGGCTCTTACCTTATTATACTTCGGCCAATCCACAAAGTGGTAAATTATCTTACCGTTTGATCGTATCACGCTATGTTGTTATTCTGGAAAGCACGTTACGTTCTGATTCGGCGAAAACTCTTCGAATCCCTTAGGGCCTCTGAAGGCTCTATCGAGCTTATCGAAAGTTATCTCAACAGTTGTAATTATTATCAGTGAGCTTATATACCATATCTAATCACCGTACTTAATTTTATATTTCTAACTCGTTATAATTCAACCACATAATCCTTAAAACCCTACATTGATACCACTTTATTGTGTAACGTAAACTGTCTTGCGACGTCTATTAAGGTGTGCTTCGTTATAACAGCTTTTGAAGGAAAATGCAATCGCATCAACAAAAAATTCATTTGATAAAAAGAGTGGATATTCATGGATAACCGGATCGTTTTTGATTGGTTATGTTACTACATACATATAAATTGTCCATCAACATGCTTTACTCATCATTCAACTTTCAGCAGAAAATATTTTAAGGCGATGTATACTAAACTCCAAAGTTCATTTCGTAACGTTTCGGCATTTAAGTCAAGGTTGCTACAGGTCTATTCGATTCTCAAGCATTCAAGAACTTCCCAGATTCAGCCTTTGGTTTTCATGGAATCATCCTCAAACTAAACGGTGGTTCTGATGATGTATTAAATTATTACATTCTTCCTGATACTCGTCTGCCGACTTCAGTATTTCAAATTGTTCTGGGCGGAATAAAAGCTTTTGACAAACGCGGTACCGCATCTCGTATATTTAGTACATTTACTGGTAAAAAGAGAAATATTAATAAGGTAAAGAATATGCTGCTATAGTTCCTTAAGCTTGATCAAGTTTTTTCTTGAATGAATCCTAAGTAGTAGATAGGACCAAATTAGCAGGCAGCGTACGTCAATAACGGACTTGATCATTATAATTTTCCACTACGGACTTAGTCGGTGGAAGTTCAATTACCTATGCCTCTAGCATTATAAATCTGTTTCACATTTGTAGATTTGCTGTGATGTGACAATTTGAGTTATGAGATCTTACGTTGACGTCATATCTAAACTTATAATAACTCGTCCTACTGTGATAGTCAATGGTTGCGGCCAACGGCGACTTGAGGAAAAATTTAGGCTGTGAAGAAATCAATATACTAATTACGGAAGGCAAGACTTTTCGTCTAGGTTGAGCGTTCCCGCCTTCACCACCTTTAAGTGATAAATTTTGAATGCAAACATTCTTAACTATTATATGCTGTGGTCCGAAAATCCTGTGACTAAGAACGAATACCATTATAGTCTATATGATATAAAAAATGAATAAAAGTGTGCATACTTTTAATATATCCAGCTTTTAATCTGTCTTGCGCTCCAACTTGATTGAAGATGCATAACAAAACCTTTCGTAGGCATCAGTGCCGAATTCGAACCCAAGTTTCAAATAAATTGAGCATTGAATGGAAGGCTGGCAGTGTGCTTTTCTATGTATTAGTGGGTATAAAATTGTATCTTCCAAGAATAATAATCAAAACATATCAAAACAATATTATAATTCTTTAAATATCAATTTTTATAGGTCTTGGATTGATATCAAAGTTTTGCTTTTCTGCCAAGGTACCACTAAAGAATTGAAAATTTACCTAGATTTGACAATGATATGTCGGAACTTATTATGCCTTTGATTTTAATAAAAATTTTCTGCATTGTTCTTTTTGTTTTATTCAAATATGTGATAGTTTTATTTCTGTTACTTATTTACTCTTAAGAAGTGGCTTAAGTTAGATAATAAAATGTCAGGAACATAGTCTTCTACTCATCGAGATATAACAAAACGTACATTTATTGTTGAAGATTTTTGTGTTGACATCCAAACATATTGACTCCGACAGATTTCCATCAGTCTGTGACTGACATGTCTATTATATTCTACATGAGTCATGGTGCTATGCAAAACATATCGCTTGTATGGTAGCGAAGATATATTTTAGTGTTTTTACGAATACTTTGTGAAATATTAGATGTTTTTCAGCAATGCCTTACATATTAGCTTCAATACATACTGTGAGTTTATAACAGCCAAATAACTGAAGTTTCGCCCCAACCAAATAGTGACGGATATCGTCAACGTACCATCATTCTTGGCCTCGTATTTACTTCTATTCTATCACTTTAAACAATCAAATAGAATTATTCAAGTCACATATTCACTATACAGTCTCCATCCACCTCTAAAATCTGATTGCTAAGTAACATATATTGTTGTTTCACAGATTTTATAGGCCTTCATTTTATGTTTAAACCCCCAGTATTCAGTACGAATTGTTCATTACTCACTTTAGTGCTATTACTTTACACATAAATTATCTTCGTTCCTGCCTTTCACAGTGGATTGTTAATGCAACTGAATTTTTGAACAGTGAATTTCGATGGATTTTTACGATTTCTTTTTGAAGTCAAAGAATGGAGGCACAATAAATTGAAAATATGGGCTGCAGTGACCGAATAAGCAAAGGCAATCGGTTACTAAACAAATCAAGCCCATATTGTCTACATGCATATGAACTAGAAAAAAAACAAGTAACATTACACCTAACTCGTACATATTTATGTATTTAAAGGAACTTCGAAAACAATGGGTAATGTATCGATTATTAATACTTAACCGGCTAGACTTGTTAAATAGTGATATATATATATATATATATATATATATATATATTAATATCAATTCCTCGAAAATATTTTCGCATATGTTCAAATTTATTTGCTTCTGTGAAACGTTTTTGTCTAGACGAACTGAGTCATGATACATGTCAGTAAATTTAAGGCCTTAGATGAAATCCGTATAGGAGCACTTATCCATGTTTCTAAAATAATAGATCCAATCCAACTTCATGTCACTAAACTTTCGATTGCACAAGTAACGCGATTCCGCACACTTAGTGGATTTGAAAGACTGCTGAAGGCCAGTCCTTTTCAAATCTAGATGATTGTTAATTTGTGAATGTTTTGTCAATTGTTGTCTTATCGCTAAGAAGTTATTTTTGTTGACATTGTTGATGAGTACTAATAAGGACAAGTATGAAGATCGATCGTATTTCCGATGGTTTTAGAAAGAGAAGTTACGGAAAATTGCGAATCTGAGGCACTGCGTTTGATGGAACATGGGTAGGTAATAAAAACACGAACGGATATCAGGTCGTGTTGAATTAAGTAACAGCATCAATCAGTTTCATATAAGTCTTATAAACAGTCAAAGGTACTTATAATTTCTTCAGTATTTTGCTGTTTTTTCAACAATATAGAGAAGTTTCCGATGACGATGATATATTTGTCAGAACCGGGAGAAATACCTCTAACAATCAGGGCTTCCCATTGATCTTTCTTTTTTCTTAGTGCTGAAAACAGTTTTAAACGAACCAAATCCATTGTGTTAAAAAATGATTGCAAGCTGTTTGTGTTAAGAAAAAAGAATATTTGGATTGTCAAACTGACGGCTTTTGTTTTGTGGCTTCGTATTTGTTCGTCTATTCCATTTTTTCTCTTTGCCATTTTATGGCGGGTGATTCAGCTGACCAAGGTCAGGGCGATGCACAGCTGATCCAGGAGGTCGAGTGTCTAAAGAGAAAGCTTGAGGACGAGCGCAATAAGCTTTCTGATGAAGACCGTTAGTTCTTTAAAAGTTTTATTCTGTAGTTGTCACGGCTAGTCAGCACCTAGATCCAGTGCCATCTTTAAACATTCGATTACGACGAGTACTTAAAGGTCATCAGGGTAAAGTATTGAGTCTCTCGTGGTCTTTAGATAAACGGCACATAGTAAGCTCTTCGCAGGTAATGCTTGTATTCTTTCTATAATTGCTAAGGATGGAAAAATTATAGTTTGGGATGGTTTTACAACATCTAAAGTATCATTGATATCTAGACTTTTACCCAACCAAATTTGTAGGAATACTCTATATCAATGCCTACCACCTGGGTAATGTCTTGTGCATACAGTCCTTCCGGAGGCTTCATCGCTTGTGGGTTAGTTAAAGTTGTTATCATAGCAAGTTACTAATCTGTATTTATTTTTAGTGGGCTTGATAATAAATGCACTGTTTATCCACTTCTTTCGGAAGAGGATCCTATCCTTAAAAAAAAGCTTGTGGCAACGCATACTTCATACTTATCTTGCTGTTTATTCAACATATCTGATCACCAGCTTCTTACAGGGAGTGGAGACAGTTCATGTGTCTTATGGGATGTTGAATATGCACAAATAATACAAAGTTTCTATGGTCATTCTGCGGACGTGCTGAGCATTGCACTATCACCATCAGAATTCGGAAGGACATTTGTTTCTGGGGTAGGCGATTGTTTCCTTTTCATAAGTCTCTAGGGATGTGACAGATGTGCTAACGTTTGGGATATGCGCACTGGACAGTGTGTTCAGGTATTCCAAGGTCATGACTCTGATGTCAACAGTGTCAGGTTTTTCCCTAGCGGTGATGCGTTCGCTACAGGCTCAGATGATGCAACCATCAGATTATTTGATCTGCGCGCTGACCGTGAAGTTTGTATATACAAAAAGGATAGTGTCATTTTCGCATGCAATGCAGTTGACTTCTCTCTAAGTGGTGAGTTCAGATTTGCATAAAATTTTGTGCGAACACCTTCAGTCACTATTTCGAAAATAAGAACAATTGTACTGAATGAAGTAATGATATATATATATATTGCATGCTGTTTGGTATCGGAAAAAATATTCGCTCAAAGTATGACTGCTAGACCTTAATGATTTTCAGCAACGTATTGTAATTGCCTTACTAACCGGATCAGTATGAACTTTTGAGACCAATTGGCTCGATATTTACACAAGGCAATATTTGAGTAGGGAGTCCTAAGCACAAATCTAAAAGGACGTAGATTTTAATCACTGCCATGCCACGAAGAAAAAATGAATTCCTTTCTACAATCGAATGTAATTCAGTATTCTAACCCGTATTACTTCATACGTAGCTTTTGAAAAAGTATCACTTTGTTAGTCTAGAATTGATTAATTTAGTCCTTACTGATTCTCAGAAGTTCCACGTTTTATTTCTACATGTTACCCCTCGTGCTTCCATTTTTTCGAGTTGAAAACTCAATGTTATCATAAGTAGTGACCATACGTAATAAGCCAGATATATAAAGAAAAGATACGCTCATATTTTACTCATGACGCTGGCTAGTTTGTCATCTATTTCCTTTACCCCCTAAGTCCTGACATGGGATTAAATTAACCATATAAGTCGATCAGTCATTATCAACATACAAGCTGGCATAATTGTGGTTCAGGTTGCCGCAAAAAGTTACTGTACTCTAGACTGTAAGTTTTATATAACAGTTTGAAACACCATCTATTGAAATTAGACTTCTTAACTTACTCCCAAACTGAGTAATTTGAAAACAACATTCATTTTACGCTTTATACATTTTTAAAACACCTCTTACTGTTAATAAGAATAAGTCAACATTTCTTGAATATTAGCAAGATAGGGACTAATAATTTCAGATTGGCAGGTAAATGGAACTTCTACTCAGCTAAATAGTTTTGTTTCAGATCACTTTCGACCGTAGATCTGCTAGTCTTATCCTTGCTGTACTTCGTTTTTCACCGCCAGCATTCATTAATCTCTCGTGGTGCTTGATGGACAAAAGTTTAAGTTCATTTAGTGTCCAGTTAGTTTGACATATACAGGTATTATTTTGGTTTGGTAGCTGTATTAGGCACAGCTCTCCTAACGTGTAGATGAATAGTAACTTTGAATATTTGTTCATGTAATGTAATTAAACAAGATTAATCATTCATTAGTTCAATAACAACATTTATTTTGTGTATCGGAATTACGTGGTTATGAACACTATCACATGACTGCGAAGTACCATAGAAAAATCGATATCAGGTTTCTGAACTCTAGCACATTATAACTAGGATACTTGGCACTCACTTTACATATTATAATACTCCATATTTTTCCCGAGAAAGCTTAAGGGAAGAGAATTATCTAAGGTTTTTTGAATGCTGGTTATTGTGGGACCTCCAAGAATGTCAAGAAATTTCGACCCATACTCTATATAGTTAAATAGTGATCAAAATGTCGCAGTTACATGGTCTTTCTATATGACCCTCGAAATGTTTGGACTGATGTTCTTCCATTTTGATGTTTTTCATATTTATTTATGACTTTGTTTATGTGGTTGACATTTTTATGTTCTGCATCAGTGTACAGTTGTCACCATACATGTCATAATCTCGTATGCTTACCTTCTCATTTCTTAAATATCTAGAAATGTTTTACATCCTAGTTAAAAATCTAAAATAATTACGTGTTTCATGCCCAAACTCATGCACTTATGCCCCTTTGCATAGTTTGACTATAAGTGGTGATAGTTAACATGTAGATTACTTAAAGTACATGTGTGTTTGCACTAGTCTTACTCATGATAAATACATATCAGTAACGGGATGATTTCGGTGTGTTAGCTGAAGGCAAAAGTTAAACATCTTCAGTTTCAGTGTACGGAAAACTGCACTTTTAAAGATGTAGTTGTGCTATTTTCTTGCCCGAAGTAAGAAGAGTTTATGGTTTATGGCAACTTGATCATCGATATGAAGCAATCTAAGTTCTCACGGTATGGTTTCTAGAAGGAAGGAATTGAGTTAAAAAATATCTAGATAAGTTTTTTATAACCTCCGAAATGAACTTGCTAACTCAGTAAAAGTTGCATGTATTTACGTCTGGTAAAGTTTCTTAAGCAGTGTTTGATAAGTCCTGCTACCGATACGCCTAATAAGTTCTTTTTTTCAGTTTATGGTATTCGGCTGAGTCTAACACAGAATCACAGTTTTATCGTTCACAATAATATATCAACTACTTCGTACTGAACGCATGCAATTAGCGTTCAAAAGACTTTTAAAAATTATCTTTTCTTTAATTTTCCATCTAGTAATTTCATCATAGTTTATAATATTCTAAGTCTCCTGTATCTATTTTTGATATATATTAAAACGGTTAAGCTAATCTACACACCTCGTTAACTATATGGACATGAATTCGTACATCGTGATTGATTTTGAAATTTGACTGACGCTTTCTGCTGATGTTTTACGTCAAACTCGTCTGAGATATTTGTTATGACACTTATAGCCTTTTGCTCTCAGTTGTATAATTTTCCGCTGCAGTATTTGGTTTTGCTTTATAGTCCATACTTTATGAGTAAAGTTCATGCGCACACCCATTCTTATAACGTGTTCTTTCCATATGATTGTAACGCTTATAAATAATGAAATGTCTTGCTAATTACCAAAAATAGGCGCTGAAAATCTTTCGAAATTCGAGAATAACATGCTATCCTTGTCTATTTGAATACTATTTCAATGAACCTGTGCAATTAGTCAATCACTTTGATTTTTGTTTCAGGTCGCCTATTGTTTGGTGGTTATAGTGACCATGCCGTGAATATCTGGGATGTACTCAAAGGTCAACGTATTAGTATTCTCTATTGTCATGAAAATCGTATTTCAGCCTTACGTGTCAGCCCAGATGGAACAGCTATATGTACTGGGAGTTGGGACACAACTTTACGGGTGATTACATTTTTAAATTTTCTTTTACGGATGCTATTGTTTAAAATAGCTGAAAAATGAGTTTTCGTGGGACCTCTGCTTTGTAATTCATGTCTTCTACCTTCAACTCTTAATCCGTAGATTCAGTGTGCTATAATTTTAATTGGGAAGCAGATATTCGATTTAAAAAAATGCTACAACTTGCTAGCTAATATTTTGGCTGAACTGTTGTCACTTGCGTTTGTTTCCTCTAATCTAATGTTTAATCAAAGAATATGACTTGTGGATAGGCTCCGACTAGAAAGTCTGCTCCTACAGACGTGGTTCATATTAGCTTCGCATCATGGTTTCTGGTTTAATGTTGACATTGAATGTCGCCGAAATACAACTGGTCGAGTGGGAACAAACGTTTTACATCTATTACTCATAAATGGTACGATTCACAATCACAATAAGAATAATGATCATTCGTGTATTCATGCATTTGGTGGAGTAATTGATATATGTTGTCTATCATCTCGCAAGCATCGAAGAATTCTCTAGTAATTAGAAAGTAATATTGAAAATTATTATCCTTGTACATCTTCTAGTTGACTAGTTTAAATATTAGATCCTCTTTGTGTACAGTCATAATACGACAAGTTATACCTAAGTGTAATTTTCCCAAAAAATTATGTATTCGAACTAAGGGGTCGCTTTTAGGTTTATAAATATTGACGATATGCTTTTTAGTTACCAATTAAAATATAATATTAATAATAACGAAATTGGGCTTCAAATTTATGACAGTAATTTGTTTTTAAATATGATACTTGATACCGCGTGTTGAAATACAACTAAGTTGACTTCTTTAAATATCACTCAGTGTTATTTGTTTTCTGCCATTTTGGTAGAACAGATATTTTATAAAGTTATTGTTCCGTAGAGTTAAAATAATATACATACAGGGTATATAGTTGATCCATAAGAATAGCTTTGTGTCTAATTCAATAATGGACTGTTAAAAGTAGAATAGGCGACATAAAAATTGAATGTAAGTATTGGTTTAGAAGCTACAACCTAAAGTATATTCTTATTAATGAGGTACCGAATAAGTCTTACAATACTTTTCGGAAATTTAATCGCATAATACATTAATATTCACCTCGAAGATGAAGAAGGGGCTACTTCAGATTTCTTAACCATATTTCATAAATTTGAGTCTTCTGTTGTGCCTAGCTGTTTGAATCACCCTTCTGCGATTTTTGTTTATAACAAATACTTTAAACAATGATTAGTTATTAACAATCGAAAATGCCAAAAAATTGTAATAATGGATTTGTGAAGAGACAAATTACGAAGATAAAGTAAGACTCTGTACTTCACTCAGTATTACATTCCTTATCTTGTAATGTTTGCTTTTGTTCTGTCTGATGAATTCGTTCACACTTATTATTGAAATAATATATTAATGTTGGCGCATAATTTTCGATTCACATTGTATTAAATTCATTTTTTTCTATGTAAGTTAATATAAAAATAATCGAATTTTCCATTTAACAATATTCACATATGAAGTAGGAAATCAACCACACCTACTGTAGACTATAAGGGAGTTAACAATATCTTTAAATAAATTGTGCGTGAGCCTAAGATAATTTAAGTATTCTCCTCTTTTACTAACTGTCATACTAATACATCTCTAACATTTAACTATAAATTCATATTTTACAGATTTGGGCGTAAAAATTTCTGTGTTTATTTTCCGGATAAAAAATTTCATCAATACATGAACTCGTTTTATAATATACATTCGTGTTACTTGACACTAAAATATTGACTTACTTTATTTTTGCATTTCTTAGGGTAAACACGAATCTTTATTTATTTCGAATATTTTCCTCTTATTATTTGTTCACATTTTCAAAACTCTTTACATGTGATAATTTACTTCTTATTTTATGCGTGTTATTTCTTCTCTCTCTCTCTCTTTATATATATATATATATATATATATATATATATATATAATTTCACATTATTATTACCATTATTGTTGTTATTATTGTTATTATTAATATTATTATTATTAGTTTACTGTGTTTATTAGATAAACCCTACCATGTTATATGATGCATAAATTTATTAAAAAGCAGCATCTTTTTTCGTTTTGTGAAGATATATAATAATTGCGAATAGTTAAAATTTGCTTTTTTGGAATGGGACATTCAATAATTTGGGCGTTTATGTGTTAACTCACATGAAATCTTCTATTTTCATATTTATTCTTGTTTTTCTTGTTGTTGTTGGTATCACCGTGATGATCAAGCATATTATTGTTTTAATGTATTTAATAGTATTAATTGACTAACCATGTTTTACATATACTTTTGTTGAATTCATTATTTGTGATTTTACTGTTTCAATGTTGTATCTTAATTCTTGTTCCAAAATACGGTAACAGGCATTGATAAATATATATCAATTACATTAATCAAAGATAGATTACTTAAACTATAATGAATAAATGATTTCCGAGTACTGTGGTAATATATACCCCCCCTTAAAAACTTACATTGATTAGTGTTCTTTGTTGAATGATGTTTAGAAAAATGTTATTTGTAATTTTACCAAGTTAGTAATTCAACTACTAGTCGTGCGACCCACTGTTTGATTTCATTTATACAAAATTAAACTTGTATTATCCTCTGACTGCAATTTCACTTAATGTTGACCTAACAGTCGACATGTACTACCACATATATTTTGGCGAACCAACAATTTGTTTTGTCCTATTGCTTGCGATATTATGTACAGGAAGAGATCGACTCTTTAATGTTACTCTCTTCCTCTAGTTTTATGTACTAAGTTTGCTCACTGTAGTGATATAACTGATTCTTTGCACCCAGTCTGTGTAATTTACGTGACCTAATTACAGTAACATGAAATTTCAATGAGTCAAATACTTTTTCTGTGTTAACATAATTATACTTACCTTAGTAAATGTTCACATAAATTCCCAGTAGCTGGTTAGTGGTATTTTATATAGTCACTGTCAGGGAAGTCCTACTCACTACCTTTTCGCGGCAGTGGTGCTATTCACGAAATTGAGAGGATGAATAGCGAATATGCGGCGCTTTAAGCGGATTTGTGGGTACGGTGGATTCATCTAGGGGAGTTGGAAGACCCTGATATCAAACCAATGGTGCTCATGGGCTCCAGGATCTTGAAGGTACAAATGGGATATGAACATATTGTTGGTCGCCGCCTACAATGGGACTGCATCTATTTACGTTGCTTCACTGTCCTGTGAATAAGACCTTTGGGTCAAAGACTCGCGGAGTGACGTAAGGAAACTTGCTGATTCGGTTTGGGCGCCCGGACAGTATTCCAGCCCTCACACTAATCCAGTTATATGTGTGGCGCATATGTATTTGGTGCTTCTTCATACCGATGTTTGTGCGTTAAAATGTGTAAATGGTTTGTTTTAATCGTGCTTGGCTTCTTACACTGTCACTTGATATATGTATGTATGTATGGGGATTTTCTGACAGTTATTTAGTTAAAAATGTTTTATTTCTAAACATTTGACATATTAAGAACCAGATGTCAATGGGTAACTTGTTAATTATTAAAGTCTCTTTTAAGGCTATATTAGGGTTGGAATTGTCATAAAGTGTTCTTGAATTCATTGAAGTAGTTATCGATTTTTGAAAGTGGGGTTTGGTGCTGAATATCCCAAAAGTCTCATCTTGCTGGAAGAGAATTTCGGTAGCTGTTCGTCTATAGAATGGATAATTGTCTGTAGTAATCTGCTATTCCTCAATTCGTGTGGACACGAAATTTTCCGCAATATTCTGCAGATAGTAACAAACATTCTAGAAGATCATTCATTCTTGCTAAGCCGTAGTCACGCAACATGGGTTACTCCGTCGAATCCAGTTACTTTGGCTAATATAATGACCGTATGGAACAAAAATACTCAATGTTTTAGTAAGAGTAGCCACAAGAAACAGACTGTGACAACTGTCGCGTGGGCTGGTCTGTTGTATGTAACTGTTTGATCTGCGTTGGTTGTCCCTTACCCGGATGAAGGTCATTAGGCTATCCGATTAACAATGATTTGGCTACCATGGGTGATTTGATGTGCCATGGCATTTTACTGCCCCTACAAATTGAAGTCAAAACCGTTAGTAGTCATTTACTAACTGGATTGATCAAGAAGAAATCAGAATACTGATTAGCGTGTTTTACATTATTCTCAGATAGAAGGCTCAATATTTGTTGAATTTTAATCCTGTATTTCGACTCAGACATCTGAAAAGCCGCAGATAATTTTAGTGTATTAGAATTCGTATACAAATACCATAGTGAAAACTGGTTTGTTAGGCTTATAAACTGCAGCCTAAACGTTTAGAGGATCTTTATTCACTTTATAAACAGACTGCTGGGTTACTATTACCGTACTTAGTAAGTTTTCACTCCACTCGATATTATTTTTATGAAACTTTTAGTTATGTTCAGTACGCTCAGGAGTCCTGAAGTGATTTCGCTCATAGAGAGAGCATTTCATTAGTGAAACGTTGTCCTGTCCTTAAAGCTCAAAAACAATTACTCTCTTACTTACTTACTTACGCCTGTTACTCCCAATGGAGCATAGACCGCCGACCAGCATTCTCCAACTCACTCTGTCCTGGGCCTTCTTTTCTAGTTCCACCCAATTCTTGTTCATTTTTCTCATATCTATCTCCATTTCTCGGCGTAATGTATTCTTTGGTCTTCCTCTCCTCCTTCGACCTTGGGGATTCCATATGAGGGCTTGTCTTCTGACGCAGTTCGGTGCTTTCCTCAATGTGTGTCCTATCCACTTCCAGCGCTTCTTCCTGATTTCTTCCTCCACTGGGATCTGATTTGTTCTCTCCCACAGTAGGTTGTTGCTTATAGTGTCCGGCCAGCGGATCTGAAGTATTTTGCGTAGACAACTGTTAATAAACACCTGTATCTTTTGGACGATGGATTTCGTAGTTTTCCAGGATTCCGCCCCATACAGTAGAACTGTCTTGACATTTGTATTGAAAATTCTGACTTTGGTGTTGGTTGCCGATTGTTTTGAGTTCCAGATATTCTTCAGTTGTAAATATGCTGCTCTTGCTTTGCCAATCCGTGCCTTCACATCTGCATCAGATCCATCGTGTTCATCGATGATACTGACCAAATATGTAAAGGTATTTACCTCTTCCAAATCTTCTCCGTCAATTGTGATTGGATTATTGCATGCTGTGTTGTATCGAAGAATCTTGCTTTTCCCTTTGTGTATATTGAGACCTATTGCTTCTGAGGCTGCAGCTACAGTGGTTGTCTTCTTCTGCATTTGTTGTTGCGTATGCGCTAGAAATGCCAGATCATCTGCGAAGTCTAGATCATCCAATTGCATCCTAGCTATCCACTGTATCCCGTGCTTCCCTTCAGATGTTGACATCTTCATGATCCAGTCGATCACCAGGAGAAAGAGAAAGGGTGAGAGTAAGCAACCTTGCCTGACACCGGTCTTTACTTCGAACGACTTTGTCAACTGTTAACCATGCACGATTTCGCAGTTTAATCCATCATAGGAATTCCGTATGATATTGACTATCTTCTGAGGCACGCCGTAGTGTCGAAGAAGCTTCCATAGGGTTGTTCTGTCCACGCTATCAAATGCTTTTTCGTAGTCGATGAAGTTGATATAGAGTGATGAATTCCATTCAATTGATTGTTTCACAAAGATCCGTAGAGTTGCGATTTGGTCTGTGCACGATCTATCCTTACGGAATCCTGCCTGTTGGTCTCGAATTTGTGCGTCTACGGAGTCCTTCATCCTGTTTAACAATACCCTGTTGAAGACTTTTCCTGGTATTGAAAGAAGAGTGATTCCCCTGTAGTTGTCACAGTTGCTGAGATCGCCTTTCTTTGGTATTTTGACTAGAAGTCCTTCTTTCCAGTCTTTTGGTACTTGTTCCTCATCCCAAATCTTATTGAAGAGTATGGGGAATATTCTTTCAGTGCCTCTGCTAGGGTGTTGTCTGGTCCTGCTGCTTTGCCACTCTTGATTTGTCTGATGGCCGTGCTAATTTCTTCAATTGTTGGTGTGCTAACATCAATTGGGAGGTCCGTGAGTGCTGCTTCGATGTTGGGTGGGTTCAGTGGAGCTGGTCGATTCAAGAGTTCTTTGAAGTGTTCTACCCACCTGTTTCGTTGTTCTTCAATGTTGCTGATTATCTTGCCTTCCTTGCTTTTCACTGGTCGTTCTGGTTTACGGTGATTTCCAGAGAGTTTCTTTGTTGTTTCATACAGTTGTCTCATGTTTCCTTCTCTGGCAGCCTTTTCCGCCATCAATGCCAAATCCTCCACATATTTACGTTTGTCAGGTCTGATGCTCTTTTCACTTGCTTGTTTACTTCTGTGTATTCAGCCTGTGCCTTGACTTTTTCTGCTCTTGTTCGACTGGTATTGATTGCTGCTTTCTTGTTCCTCCTTTCTTGAATCTTATCCAGTGTATCGACCGTGATCCAATCCTTGTGACGGTGCTTCTTTTGGCCCAGAACCTCATGACATGTTGAAGTGATTGTTTCTTTTATCTCTTTCCAGTAGCTCTCCATAGTAGTTTCTTCTCCATTGAGTAGATCATGAAAGGCCTGGAACTTATTGCTGAGGGTTATCTTGAATTTATTGAGTTTGTCATTATCCCGAAGAAGAGCCGTATTAAACTTTTGGGATATTGTCCTCCCCGTTGTCCAGTGCCTCTTGAGTTTCAATTTCATCTTGGCGACCAGCAAGTGATGATCTGATGCTATATCAGCTCCTCTCTTTGTTCTCACGTCCTCCATCGTCCTCCTGAACTTTTTGTTGATGCAGATATGGTCGATTTGGTTCTGTGTGGTGTGATCCGGTGAAGTCCATGTGGTTTTGTGGATGCGTTTATGTGGGAATATAGTGCCGCCTATGACCAGTTTATTGAAGGCACATAGATTTGCAAATCTCTCACCATTTTCGTTCCTTTCTCCCAGTCCTTGTCGTCCCATGATCTCTTCATATCCGGTGTTGTCAATTCCAAACTTGGCATTTAGGTCTCCCATCAGAATAGTCAGGTCTTTTGTTGGGCACTTCTCGACGATTGACTGCAGCCTATCGTAGAATTGATCTTTAGTATCTTTATTGTAGTCGTTGGTAGGCGCGTAGCATTGGATGACGTTCATTGTAATTCCCTCTTTCTTTGTTTTGAAGGAGGCTTTGATGATCCTTGGTCCATGAGATTCCCATCCTATAAGTGCATTTTGTGCTTGTTTGCACAGCATCAATGCAACTCCTTGTGTATGTGGGGCATTTTCTTGTTCATGTCCGGAGTATAACAGCAGCTCCCCTGTAGCTAGTCGTTGTTGTCCAACTTGCGTCCAATGTGTTTCACTGATCCCAAGCACCTCTAAATTGTATCTCCTCATTTCTGAAGCAATTTGGAAAACTCTCCCAGTCTCCCGCATTGTGCGAGCATTCCATGTACCTAAATAAATGGTTGCTCTGGTTGTCAGAAGGGGCATCGGCATCGTGACTTCCGAAGAAACTCGGCTTTCATCATGAGGCGTCGTAATTCTTCTAAACGAAGACCTTCTGACTCTAAGGGCAGAGTTTAAATGGTTTGAATAATTTTTTCTGGTTAGCGTTTTTTAGCGAGTAAGTTTTCTACGGGATGGGGCCGCTAACACCATGCCCAACCCTCCTCCTTTATTCTAGCTTGTGATCGGCAGTAGTCTTCGCAAAGGGACTCCAGGTGAAGTTGATTACTTTCTGCTTCACCCTAAATCCTTAAACCTATTCATATTCGGGTCAATATATGTCCAAATTCATCCATCACCTTGGTTATAATTTTTATTTTAATTGTTAGTTGATTCTCTACAATGAAGTATAGTAAAACGAGTGGACATTGAACAAATCATCGATCCCTATCAAGGACAACGGACGCACAGCAGTTATTCATATGCCATGGAGTGGCCTCCCTATCTTCTCTGTTCTCGTTCTTACAAGTACTTATGTTCATCAACGTTCAGCATGAACACTTTACTTGACAGTGTCTTTCTTCCCTTTTGCCATATAATTTTGTGTAATCTTGTACTAAAGCCAAAATAATTCATTCGCTTTCACTATATCTGTTGACAAAAGTTTTCGATTTTTGCAATATTCAATTATTGCTTTTCGGAATAATTCTTCGTAACTATTCATTAATTATATAAATTTAATTTGCCATTTAACGTATGATGAATCGAAGGCCCATCTGTACTGATGAAGAACAACCCGAGAGTCAATAAAAAAATTATCGATTACGACTGCACAATGACCAACAGTCTAAGGGTATAGTAAAAAATCCATTTTCAAGTTACTGGGACTTTACGGTTTTTGATTCTTCAATAATGCAATATGATTACCAAATTATAATCTACTTGCACGTTGCTCACAATCAATGTATTCTATATCGTCGAATTCTACTCAAGTAAGTGTATAAATTGAAGAAAAACAGACTTTATACATTAGCAATAAGTGATAAATGATGCCGAAATCGTGAATTCATTGACAAGTTCTGAAAGTACTCTTATTTCTGATGTGTCTCTAATGGCCGTAGTTCATGTGGCGATGAAATTTTCATACTGTTATGCACAGCAGAACATATGTTGGAGAGATGTTTTTAAAGTGTTTAATGAAAGGGTCAACTGAACTTGACATACCTTCCTAAGACATGGTCGGAACGGACCTCATAGGCTTTGAAGAGAGTTTTTACAGTAGCTGCCTCTAACCGACTTAACAAAAATCTACAGCAATAATGTCGATTTCAGGCCAAAAAAAACATAACCTTGAGAAGGCGATGTTGGTAACGCATTTTTTAATGATCTATGTCTCCAACGTGTACAACATATTACGGAAAAGAAAAAAGCGTTCAATGATAGTGATTTACAAATTATCAACAAATTGTATGAAGGTGTAGATTGTACTTATGTGTGCACAGTGTCAGTGTAAGATCCATTTTGAATGTTTTGTTTGTTAAAATCCATCCATGTATACGCTTGCAGTTTGTTCCTATTGATTCCTATAGTTGTACATTTTGTTAGTCTTTTTGATTTTATTTGGGTTGTTAATATTTGCATTTTATTGTAGTTTATACTTTTCTTACGCTTTCACTCAGTTTCCATGTTTTTTTCTGAACTGCATTTATGTTGTTTTACTTGATTCTTTGTCTTGGTTTGCTCCTCCTTCTGAGTATGTTGCTTGTTTTAACTAAAGTTGTGCATTTTTGATTGTGAATTTAGACATTTTTCCGGAATTGGAAACCGTCTGTGTTATTAAGCAACCGAATACTATTTTTTGATCAAATCCTTGTGTGGCTTATACAGACAGGATAGAATAGCATTTATTTATTGCGATTGATTTGATTAATTGAACGATTATTGATTGAGTAGCTGGGTGGTCATATATGTATAGAACCGTCATTTTGCCCGATCACTTGTTTTGGATTCAACCGGGCAAGGGCGCGTATCTAAACCACCTAGACAACTATTCTTCAGTCCAAACCTTAGTTTGGATCTTACGGTCAGTTGGTGCTTTACAAAAAATAGACTGATAACAAGCCATAGATAATAACGCTTGCAAACAATTTATACTTATTTATTGCGGTTTTGGCTGCAATGGACATCCTTCCCGATTGCAATTTCAGGTTTTACGCCATCATTCTAACCAACTCTTCACCTTGTTACATATCGTAATTGATTGTACTTTATCATGTTATACTCTCAGGACCAAAGTATTAGAACAAAATGGCGTCCGCTACCATATAATTTTGTGAAAACAGCGGTTAGAGAACCTAACAATTCGGTGGTGATCAATGACTCTTGCCATCAGCCCTCATTCTGATTTAATTTAACCTTGATAAACACAGAAGAGGACGCTTGTTATGAGGGAAATAGCATCCAACTCTATATCAATACAGCTATCACAACCGCTAAGACATAGAAGCACCATTTACGCTATTCTTACAGATAGTGAAAGTAAACCAGTTAGCTGTCTCACTACACGCAATTTCCGGTTAGGGTGGCTTACATGAAGTAAGTATCGGTGCTACACACGACACCTGACTTGCTGTTATCTCTAGAGTCCATTCTTAAGCTCAATAGTCTCCAAGTGTTAACGACGATAGATTCTGGTAAACAAATGAGGAAATTTAGAGATTTTAACTAATCACAATTTTCCGCAGTCATGATAAATTTACATCTTCAGTAGCGATAAATCTTCGCCTGATAATCTGCCTGTTATTGGGTCTTGAATGTGATTACGCCATGCTGGAGTTCGTACAATCTTTCAAAAACGCATTGACAGCAAGTCGAAAGAACTTTCTATCAACTCGCATCGATGAATATTTTGTAATTTGAAGCTTGCATCTACTCTTAAGTATATATTTTTTGGTAGCGAAATTTCATATAGGAGAAAAACTTGGAAGTGTCTATGACCTGGCTTAATTTACATTACGTTGACTATTGTTAATCTGATGTTCTGTATTTGCTCATTCTCTTAAAAATTTTATCCATGAGAGTGGAACAAAAACATGGTTGTCTGATAACCATCGAAGCCATGACATGTAATTACTATATAGACAAATGCACTTTTAATTCAATTCCATGCCACCCCATTTTCGCTTCTTCAGGAAAACAAATTATCTCAGGAAAAATATTTATTCAAAAGGATAGAATTAACGTTCACATGCTCAACCTATTGAGCATAATAACTTATTAAAGTCGGTCATGTTTGGATGGAATTTTGTTTGATGATTAAGTTAGAATACACTGAACAATCTTCGGTATCAAATTTGCCATAAATTTGACCAACTAGCACTAGCTACATAATTTTTTAGAGTTAGTCTTTGCTTGCACTGTCATAAACATTTGTTGATTAAGGTATGCCTAGCATCTGTATTGTCATTCAAGCCTGAATGTTTTGTGTGCCAATGTCAAGGTTATTGCTAATGTCATAAAACTGCGCTCTTTCAAACTGTTTGTAACATTTTACAACAACTGAATACTGTATTTTTGAATCCTTTCTGGTTTGATATCATTTATGTCAATTTTTAGCTAAATGTTCATGATTTTTTTGGCGCTTTATGTGGATTCTATTTTCTTTCTTGCAAATTTACCGTTCAGCATTTTTAACATTTATTATCCAAACGCTTTCCAGTGTTCAGTTTTATAATGAATGAATTATTCTAGCAGATTTGTTACAAATAATATAAGCGTTATATTGGACGAATAATTATGTCCGAGTCTTTAAATCAGTTGGCAAAATCTGGTGCCTTTCTCATTCTTCATGAAAATTTAGAGCGCTGGGCATCTTCTTATCAGGTTTGATTGAATCTCTCAAAATTAATCTACAAATTTTAGACGAACACTTGTGACGAAAATGTGGCCATGGGTTGTGAAATTATTGAGCTGAATTCAAGGATCCAAAACCAGCTTTTCCGCCTTATAAGCATTTGTGCTTCAGAAGGTGTGAAATATACGTAATTCTTTCTACCTGATGTTTTTTAAATGTGCTGTATTAAACAATGGTTTACAAAACGTTGATATAAGACATAACACATTGGTTGTGGAAAATTTTATGCTTGAAAAGAGAGCATCATTTTTTGTGATGCGTAATTCAATAAAAGCAAGATTACCGTTCATTAGCTTTTTAAACGGCAAATTGCATGTCTTAGCAAACGTGTTGATTAATGAAAGTGGAACCGTATCCTTTTTAATTATTTATTGTCGTTCTATTTTTTAATAACTCGCTGTTTTGCCAACTGTTTTTAATTTTGTGATCATATATTAAATTGTATAGGTGCAGGCAATATCTATGTCATCCTCATGGTAAAAATGACGACTATGCAGACCAAAAATCACAAATTTAGTTGTTGTTTGAGTCAGTGAAGACAACAATGTGTTTTGGATGCTAAAGTCTTCATAAAGTAGAAAGCACTCCGCACTCCTTATTGCTGTTACGAAAAAATCACAGGCCATATAAAACGACAGGAAAGGCAGCAGATTAAGGCTTTTGCACAAACGCTTAACAGTTTAACATGATCAGTTACTTAACTTGTAGTTAACAGGACTATAACTTGTACTTTAGTAGTCACATATACCATCATTAAATTCAGAGAGAACAACGTGATCGCAGTCGAGGGTATGATATTTAAAATTTGAATCAATTGCGGAATAATGTTAAAAATAAAATTGATTGTTTGGAATATCATTACTCGCCTTTTAGTCCTGATTATTACTTTTTCATTCAGGTGGGCCTTATGGGGGTGCAAATGCAATCAAACTTCGACTTTTACCACTTCTTGGATCAGGTAGTGTATTTTCTGGTCTTGCTGTTGGAAAACAAACATCAAATTTTGATTTGTTTCCATCTAAGAACTATGAATCAGATATTTCAAAACATCCTAGACAAGACAAATACGAATTTGATCTGATTGAAACACGTAAAGAAAACAATCGGCTAAGAGAGCAGTAAGTTATTGCTTCACAAATGCTGAGCAAGATTGTGAACTAACCATACATTTCTTCATCTATATCAGCTCTTTAGAGATCAGTGAAACGAAATGATAGATAAATATACTAAAATTAACATATCCTTAGTTAAAAAGTGAAATTTTAATCAAAAACCCTTGATATAAATCAATAGTACACGATTTTAATCTTATTAAAATTTGCCTTTGCTAAACACAAATCTATATAATTATGTTCAAACGTTTGTAGATTGATTTGTAGATGAGTTTTGGCAAATTTGTGTTTTAGCGTTTGCCTATCTAACATGACCTTCCATTTTAGAGAGAGTTGATGTCATCCGAACAGAAGATGTTAGAGCAAAACTATCGTACATTTTACGTCCATGTAAAATAATTTGATAAGTGATTTTATTATTTTGTCAAATACATGCAAGGTATAAGTGAGACTCCTAACGGTCCCTTTGAATTTGTTAAAATTCTTCTATCCGGAGTTTTAAGCTATCGCTTAAACCGTTAGATTAAAGTAAAACGTATATCAACCACCGTTTTAGTCATCATATTCTGGATAAAGAATGCCTTCCATGTCAACACTTACAACTTTCACTTCGTCACTAATGTTTTTCTATCATATTTGAAAAAAAAATTCATTTTTTGAATGTATTTTGGCGAATAAACATATCAATCAATTCTAACATCTCACGTTACACTTCAGTTGTTATCATATTTCGTGGTTACCAAGAAACCTTAACATCTCCCACCTTAGTTTCAACCATTTATTCATTAGGTGAAGATGTTTTTAATTAGTATATCACATAAATATGAAATCTATGATCAAACACTAAATCATTTAAATAGTAAGCACACAATACAGTAGTAAACATCTGTCAAACAGAAAAGGTTTTAAAGTAAAACTGGACCCAGTTTTCGCTGATTTTTTAAGTCCTTACACTAACTTGACGAATCCAAGTCGTTAAAATTTAAGTAGTCATACGTATGTTATTACAACTTAGTATATTTTTCAAAATCTAAATTGTTTATATTTTTATTTCACTGGCTTATTAGAATACTTTCATTGGAAGGGGAAAATGAACGTCTCAAAACTCATATATATTATCCTAATAAAAACGAGTATGATTTTAATAAAGACAATTCTGGATCGCTGAAAAACTTTCCAACTTCATCAAAAATGTGAGTCATACAAATTGATTTTGATACATGTAAGTCGTCATTCAAATATCATGGATTGATGGCAACTAGCTACCAAGTGTAAGTCTGATTTATACTCAATGGTTCACTAATAAACAACTAGCAACGTGCTGTCCAAACGATGTTTATCAATAATAAAGTCTGATAATAACAGCATCCGTTTTTACTTCACATTTACTTATAATAATGTTTCAACGTCAAACCAGTCTAGTTAGGACTAAAACGCAACAATTCAAATAAATTATCTTACACATAGTCTACAAGTTTTTATTGCTTCAAAGCGCTGTTCATGCATGTGCGGACAACCGAGTAATCATTGCCTGGGTTAGATGTAGGATACTAGATAGAGATAGAAAATAGATTGACGAGGTAATAAATCTTCATCCACTGAGATAACTGCGATATGTGTTGCGTACTACAACCAACGCCTATCTTGAATGGCGATGTGTTTTAGTGCAGAAGTAAGCTAGAAAAGAGATAGGGATGGTAAAACCAAGATATAGCATCTGTCTACTTAGTCGCTGACAATTAGACGTGTCCATGTTAACAGGGGTAGAGTGCCTGGTTAGGGTACTCATGATTATCGTAATCAATGTTTAGAGACTTTGAATGACACTGCTCAAAATTAATTGCAGTGAAGCAGGTGCATCGATTCTCTGTCTCCCCCCAAAATTTTAAATCCTAAATTCCTCTTTCCTATCACCTCTGATACTGTTACTACCTTTACAATTCTAGGGTTCTGCCTAATGGATTATCATAAAATAGAAAAATTTAAACCACAGTTCTGTTTTGATGTCAATATCTAAATGCATTAGGAAAATAAAACGTCTGAAGTTTAGTAGGATTGTAAGGAAATACGTAGCACTTTTATGCGTGATCAACTCCACTGAGTTTGTAACACAATGATTGAAACTGACATTGACTTTCTAAATTAGAAAACGTATCATTTAATTCAATATATCTCAAAACTTATCGTTTGAGGGTATTATTAAGAGAAACGAATGCGAAAAATCTAGCAATAGCAGATGTACATACTTTGAGACTATCAAACACCTTAAACTCATGTGCTTACGCTTTTGGATTTGATTTTGGTTCACCGAAAATACAGATCTCCATGTATCTATAAATCGCACAAATAAAACATGGAATTAACGATATTCAAAAACGCAAATAAATCGGAGTTTCAGTTGCTTGATCCTCGAAACCATTTTTTAGGTCTTGCCAAACAAAAATACCCAGAATCTGTTTAACGATTTTCGCCGACGATAAATAACTATTCCATTGATTGGCTTATCATTCATACATAAATCTTGAATTTCAGATTTGTGGTGACGACTTTAATACTCTATTAAATGTGATTACAGAAGCATGTACAAAATCGAAAAAATATGTGTGTTATTTTCAGATATTCATTTTTTTCACTTGCAATCTTTTAGCATTGCTATAATTACACCGTAACAGTGTACATATAATTATAAATGCTGGGGCCGATTTCATAATAGCACCCTAAAAGAGGTTAATGAATGTTAATAGAAAAGTCTAACATTTTAGGTGCAACTGGTAAAAGAAGAAGGAATTCAATTTTCGAAGAAAATAGCCTCATTTTACGTAGAATATTTAATGGGTCACTGGAGTTTGCCATATGTTTTTGCATATTCTTCATCTGGCTTTCCTGTTTGTAGTATACTGCACTGTTCAATAACTATCACTTTTTTTCTGTTTGGAAAAAGGTATGAAGAAAAAGATGTTGGACCATTGTCTTTATCAGCTCCTTCAGATCTAACACCGTCTATGCTAACTGGTGTTAGTCCACTAAGTCCCAATGATCCGATCCAACGATACAGACAGCACATTTTGGTAATGCGTTTTAATGAATTATTTTCATTGCATCGAGTTGAAGCAATGGGTATTTTAAGGCGTTACATAGACGATTATGAAGCAAGCCAAAAAATTATTTTCTATACAGTTTTGGTTAGTTTTCACACATTCATTTATAATTAAATTTTGCATTTCTATTTTCGGAGTTTTATGAATTTCCAAACAAACCGACTCTGATGATTAGTTTCAAAGAGAAACATTCTTTATGTGCAAGTTTGCCCGAAATGACTATTGATTAATAGAAGGAAATTGGTATCAATGATGTAATTGACAAATATATTTCCCTTCATCTAAGCTGAAGCTCTGGTTCTTTAGGCTCTTAAATATCGATTACAAAGAAAAAGTGTAACTTTCTTGACATTATTTTGAAAAAAAGGTTTAAGAAACCGAAAAAGTCATCTATTAAACAGAAGAAATGAATGTACAAATGGTGACTGAGAAATGAGGTTAAAACACTAAGATTTTCAAGATTTGGAAGACTAGATATTTTTGAAGATTATTGTAAATTCATGTAACCTGTATTTCGTATGTACTACTTTCTGTTTGACACGGATATTTTAGTTAAATACTGTAATTTAATTATCGATTCTTATCTTTGAACAATTTAAAATGATTATTCACTGTCCTCAGAGAGTTTATGATCTCTTTAATCAACCAATTAAAATAAATCCACGTTAGGAGATAAATTGTATCATGTTGTGAGCTTGTCTACATTTTTTACGCCTTCTACTCTTTGCTTAACAGACTAAATGTTGTTTTTAAGTTTGTCAGTCAATGGCAGTTTCTAAAAACACAGACCAAATAATTGAATAAACCGGCACAAAATATCTTACTACTAATTCACTCTCACATTTCCACTTTGTTAGTTAATTCTAAAATGATAAAATATGTGTTTACTCTATTTGATTGATTGATACATTGATAATAGCAAAAGCACTTACAAAATAGTAAATTAATAAAAAGTCAAGTTTTCAGTGTACATATACCATTCACTTATAATGTGATTTGCATTCTCCACTTCCGATGATCTAGTCATGAGAAAAAATTAAGCTACTCAGTTCAGAGAACATAAATAAGACAAAATTATTCTTCTGGTTTACAAATTTTTCCCATAATATCTAACTCTTTCTTCCATAAACTACTCTTTACAACACGACCTCCTCTTTAAGTATTGTTCTTTTCAGTTTGTTTCATCTGTAAAACTGTATTTTTCTCCAAGTGATCCAACATAAAATATTGATCGACTATTACTTGTTATTTACATATTGATGTTAGTATTCTTTTTGTATCACCTCCATTTTGATTTTATGTCTTAAAACAAACAATACTGAACACGTTAATTATGCCATTATCATACTCTCTTTTAGACTGAGCTAATAAAAGTCAAGGTCACAAGGGTTGCTTTAGTAACCTGCATAAATCTATTGAGATCAACTTTTGAAATAATGTAAATTTGCTCCATCTTAGTCGCTAAAAAAACAAAGTAGAAAAGCAAGTCGATTTAAACACAAACTTTCATAAAATAAATCAGCACATTAATTTTCCTACTAATATTGTAACCAGATAAAGGAAACACTACACAAATAATTTGTAGACTTTTATTTCGTCAGTATATATAAAAAGTACTTAAGAAGGTAGAGTAATCTTTTAAATAAAACAGGTTATGAAAATGTAAACCAGTAGTAGATCAACTCATTAATGATTAGCATGGCTCAAAATCAAAAGACTATCTCAATCATTTCATGTGATTCCAATCGAAATAATTAGGGTCATGGATTAATCAGTCAGTTGTTTATATATAAGTATACAGAAAGAAAGACATTCAGCTCAGTCGTACTTAAAATTCAAGGAAGTCAATTTTGTTTTTCAGATAAAAATGGACAGTCGGGATGAAAATGAAGTTTGAACTGTCACCAACTAGACCACATAATTGCTTACTGTATTAAATAATAGCAGAAGATTACTGTTATTATCTACATTTAAAGAGTTATTGTAAAGTATAAATAACTTGTAAATGCATCATATTATGCTTCTTTTAATCAATATTAAGTAGATTGGTTGTGTCATCAATCACTATGGGCAACCAACTGATCAATACAACTGAACTAAGACTGACGATCCTAGAAAAAATATGACAAAATAAAGACTTCCTTCAATGTTTATGAATTCGCTTTTTGCGATTAATTAAAGTATAATGAAAAGAAAATAATCATAACAAAAACGTTTGTGGAACTGGAACAAAATAAGACGAATAATGGTAGAGAAAGTAAATGGATAGTAGTAAAGAATTTAGGATTTGGAGATATAAAAAGCAGTCGGATATTGTATTAGCAGTTTGGTGAAAACAATGGATCTGATCCACAGAATCAGCACAAAAGATCAACTTTTTCACTAGAATTTTTGCACAATTATTTTGTCTTATTTGCAGCGAATAAGCCTGACTACTTGAATGATATAATCGTGGTGGACATGAAGTTAGATAATCCAATGTTCTTATATGTAATGAATTTTATATGTTGTACATTCAATAAAATATCTTATCACTATAAATATTTACTGTCTGTAATCCAATACTGCCACATAAACTATTATAATTAGATTTATCCAAACGTAAGGAACCAAATAGAAAAGCAACTCTCAGAACGACATTTAAACATGTGCACACAGTACTACTGAAACACTGATTCCAGGTACAAAGTTTCTTGTTAAGATATGTACCGTAAACAAAATCCAAGAGTCAGAACTTTGTGTGATAGAGGTCCAAATCAGTTTCACTAGCGTAATTCCAAACAACTTTTAAACTTAAAGCCTGATGACGTTTCATCATTTCTGTGATAATTTTTGTTTCTTAACGATAACTCTTAAGTCAACCAGGCTAAAGAGGATAAGCTCACTTCTTTGAATTTTAAAGTTCATAAATGAATACAATGTAAACTCACCCTATAAATCCAAAGCTTGATTTCTATGACACTCATGAGTGCTTGCTACTATCAAGTATTAAGTTTAAACTAAACAGTTACACATTGTTACATGTACAGTTGATATTTTATATTTTACCGTCACATTTTGATGTAATTGACACGATTGATTACATAAGGTGTTTGAGAATGATACTTCAAATTACTCCTAAATTCACTAATTTTTTGTACATAAACTCAAATTCTTGAATTTTATTGTTATAATCATTCATTTAAAATCTTAATAGATAAACTTTGTGACATAAAGTTATATAGCTCCATTTTGTAGATACATTTTTACCCGTCATTAGAATCTATCCCTGAAGTTCAATATGATATGTAACCATCATTTTTTTTAAGGACACTATATATTAACAAACATTATTTTTCATCTCTATATTCAAGGACTCATTTCATGTAGCAAAATCACATTTTCGAGCATTTAAAAATCGTGTACGTAAACAGATTGCAGCGAATAATTTAATCACAACAGAAACATTAGATGAATTGGTACAATCGTACATTAACATTCATGCTAGTCATTCAGCTGACATTTCATTACTTGTTAAAGATGCATGTTTAGCTTTGGAACGCCGTGTACCACGTATTCGCCGACCATCGCAGAATCTTGGTTTCGAAGTTATTAAAGATTTTCTTTATGAAACATGTAAACTTGCCTGGGAATGTGCTGCTTTGAGTCATCCGCTTGAAATTTGTAGACCAGCTTGTGAAAATGAATTAATCGACGAGGCAAAGTAAGCAAATCAATTAAAATATTCCTTAACATTATCTGTTATCAAGTTTCGTGCACATAGATTTTCGTAAAAATGATCGAGATCCTAAAACCGTTCGACGTAATATGGGGAATTTAAGAATTAAGACCCTCTAATATAATCCGATAATCTCTTAGCCATTTCTTCGTGAGGATCAGTTAAATTCATGAGACAAAAACTAGACCCCTTACCCATTGTAATAAAATATAGATACTTGCTTGTTTGTTGTCAGTACGATGATTGGTTAAAAAACCGTTGGTTTTGGTAAAAACTACTTGGCATACTGTCAGGTCATGTAGTGCACTGACGACTTATAACTAACTATAACTCGAGTTTTATTTGACTTAGAGTCATAGTCTAACTGCTGAATCCATGTACCGCCAGAATATCGCCAATACCAAAATCGATGAAGATTAGTAAGATTAAAACTTATTCCCATTTTCAGTCTTCATGTTTCAAATAAAGTCTTGTGCTTATTATTACTACATTTTTCCTTAGCTTGCTATTTTCGAAGTTTGGACAATTTTTTTTTCTTGGATACAATCAATCCTGCCAATATTATTCGGTTATGACATATAAAAATATAAAACAAAACGCAGCTTTAAGTTACCTGATCCATTTTAGGAATTCATATTTACATATAGATATTAACAAAAATGTGCTTGAAGCGATTAGTTATTCGTATACTTTTATTGTTATTTTTAATCACTGCTAATTAAATAAAAGTTATCAAAACGAGTAGATAAATATTCTGCTCAAAATAAGTGAATCAACCCAATCACTGTCTTCAGTGCAGTTGTACAAAAAAAAACCAAAAACCAGCTGAACATTAAGGGTCAGTTACAATGCGTAATTTCCTGAATGTGTTAACTTTAACAACCAAGAGAATTCATATATGTAAGAATGTTTTTTAACTGTTTGGTATTTTTCAAAATTATTTAATTTTGAGATCAAATGAGATCAGATGCAAATCAATGATTTTTTATTATTATACCTAAGCTTTAACGAGTAGAGTGACTTGAAATAGCTTGTCCTATTTAATGCCAGATGTTAAAAAACGTATATCTAAACAATGAACTTAAAAATAAATATTAAAGTTTCTGGAGATTGTAATTACACTCATATGATATAAATTGCTGAAGTTAATACACTAATTATTGATAGTTGAGTTATTTAAGACATCTGTTTGTCAGGACACTTTCTGTATAGTTGACTAGTAACCAAAGTTTGATACTACTCTACATTTTATCAAGTTTACTATCCTTTTTTCCCTTTATTTATCTATGTTTACTGTAGATATAGGCGTAGTCATGATTCATCTTACCCAACATTATTAATTCATCACCACATATGGCCATGTTTAATGCAAAATGAGAGGATTGTTGCTAAAGGAGAAGTATGCACCAGAGGAAATTTTAATTCATATGGTTTTGAAATTATGGTAAGTTACTCATTCAATAATAATAAATACTTAAATAGAATACAAATTCCTTATTGTAGTGAAGTAGATTTGGTGAACATTTGATTGAACTTTATCGATATGGGTCTTTGTATTGTGTATCGGTTACAACAAGAGCGTGGCATAAAGAGGAGTCGAATCACGACTTATTTAAAAAAAATTGAGTGAATGAATTTGACTTAAAAGCTTTATTCTTCAAACTAACTTCATTCAGACATTCTAAATGTATTTTAATGGTTGTCTTTTGAAGGTTATTAGACTGTAAGAGATAGTACTATGTTTTCGTCAAAACACTGCCGATAAATATTTCACTATATCACATGAGATAAAAAGATAAATACAGATATTAGACTTTGAAAGCACTGTCATAACATCAGGTAAACGAGAACATATTTCCGTTGATGAGGAAAGATATAGCATAAATTAATATTTTCTATTACCAAATTTCCGTGTACTGAATTTAAACTACTCACTGAATAAAAATGTCGCTAGAATATTCTAGTTAGATTCATTTGATGAATTCTTTCAATAGCTAATAAATTTTTTAAACAGTATCTTTCGTGCTATGAATCCTTTTATTATTTGTTTTACCATTCTACGGTCGATAATAATTGACTTTGTGAATATTTAAATATAGCCTTACATATTATGATATTTATTTATTGTATTCAATTAATCAAGGAAATTTTTATTGAAACCAATAACCAGATTAAACGAATACAAAAAAAGAAGAAAGTTCGAGACAGATGCCTCATCTTAGCATAAGATTCCTCACCAGTCAAGTGGAATAACTTCTGTTTGATAGTATCATTTCAGTCGTAATGTACTTTAAAATTTTCTATTTATTTCATATTAAGTTAAAGTGGATTTCAACCAGCTTATATTTAAGTTTATAAATTTCAAGCTGATAAAGCATTTGATTTATTTAAAGAAGATATTTCGTTCGTATGTTGGATTGCATTGCAGTAACCTTATTTGATTATATGTCTATTCTGTCACAGACTCCATAGCTAAATGAAGAAGCCTTGAAACTAGCCAGCCAATAATATAATCGGATATTACTTGTGGTATAATGTTATTTCTATCACCAATACACACAAAATAATAAAACCGTTTAGTTCATAGTCCTGTAATAACTCACACAAAGTTTTAAATCAACACAGTACCTATTCAATTTAATCACCAACTGCTAATTTAAGGCTTTTTTAGTATCTCGATAATATTAGATATAAGCAGTTGAAGATCATTGTTTGAATGGCTTTAAATTATACAAATTATTATTCAAACATACTCGTTCATTCCTTTTGAAACAAATTTTGACTATTCTCTTGTTCCATGTTGGATTACTATCTGATTGCAAGTATATGTCTCGTGATTCACTTTTTTAAGTTACATCTTATTGTGATTAACTTTTCTGTTATTCGAAAGTATAATAACTTGGACTGATGAACTACTGTGTAACACTATAGCTGATAATTAAAAAATATTAACTCAATCGTCTACTAAATCCTCAAATAAATAACAGTCTCAGTTTAGGGGTTGTAAAAATTGTTAAGTTTTTGATTGAGATTATGAATCGATTGATGTTAGACCACAATTGAAAACCTGGAAGCACTGGATAGCCGTTTCATCCTATTGTTGGACTCATCAGCAGTGCGCATCCACGAGTTCCCTTTTGGGATTCGAACGTTTAGTCTCGCACGCGAACGCTTAACCTACTGAACCAGTCTATTAAACTCGAAAGATCCGATATATGTTTCATTTGAGTACAAAAACCGTTTGAATATACTGAAGGCATATAAAAACTTTAATTGTTGAAAGAATACGAAAGTAATACTCTTAGTATTTAGGAGATTGAAGAATCCTTCGGAAAATCATAATAATAATAGCGTCATTAATCATTATAAATTTCGCAACAGTAAGAAATTAACCGAAACAATTGACATTATTGCAATAAATTTTTCTCTGACACATAATCAAACAGTAAAATATTCAACAACTACAGTCCACAAATATTTTACTACTATTTGCTCTCCTCTACTGATCTTCCATGGCTAGAGTTTACTATCACCTCAGGTGTTAAATTTAACTTTTTCATCCATCAGATAATGAAAACATGATTTCCAACACACCTGTCTCTTGTTATTTTCCAAGAGTAGACAAGAAAACAATATACCAAGAAATGCAGTGCTTCAGTCTGAAATTTCCAGCATTAAGCATCGTGAGTCCTAAACCTTTCACAATACTGCGTTGGTACGCACAGTGGATTAAAAATTATTCGGACTAAAGAAATCTAAAAAAGGGATGCTTTTGTACATTTACAAAATAGATGACCCAAATACTTGAGGCAGTCGTTAGTATCAGCAATGTTATCATCGGTGAGCTTTAAAGTATTGGACTTAAGTACACACCTGTGTAATCCGTGTTTGCTAATTTAGCAAGTACTGTCTTTCACTACGTTTCGTGTGTTCACGAAATAATCAAATAGAGTAGGTAGATAGTTAGTCTTTTCCATATAAATAGATCAAGCAATTGAATTTTCAACCAATGACATATATTATTTTGCCATACTAACTCATACTGTTAAATCCAAATTATTGTTTGTCATTGTTTTATTGTCATTTTTAAATCATACTTTAGTCTTCGGATAATCGAAGAGGGATCGATCGATATCGTGGTCGAATATCTTCACGTTCATGTTCACCAGTACGACCATCTACTTCGCCTGGTAAATAATTGAAAAAACCACTTACTACTTACCTGTTACTTTATATAAATATATTTTAATGTAAATATGGATTTCCATTTATTAATTTAAAGGTATTGAGAACGGTAAGTTATAGAATATACGTAACACTACTCATGAAAATTGATCATAATAATCAGAAAAATCTATTTAACGTTTTTTTTAATTTTGCAATAATTCAATTCCTATTCATGTCTTCTAGTTCATTTTGATGATTTATTTAGCTGACGTTATTAGATCACGATTTCAAAACCCATTCGAAAATGGTTGCTCATTTTTGTTTTGTTTTTCAAATATGTGTATACACCCTCTGTCTTCTCTTAAACTGTGAGATTAAAATTACTTTATATCTTTCTTTATTACTGTACTATATCCTTATACACAATCTTTGTTTTATATATTACTACCATTGAAGTAACTACTTCTATGAATTCAGTGTTTATCTTGTTGTGCTAATGTGATATGGCAACTTGGACTGATGCATATATGTGCCTGATCCTATGTTTTAGCTGACTGATTAACTGAATAATTTTCTTATTGAAAGTTTAGTGATTCCGAGTTCAAATTTGTTTTACAAAGTTATTAAAATATAGTTTATTACTAACAACAGGAGTAAAAGTTTTCAAATGAGCTACAAAAGCTATAATTGGATAACTTCAGCCTACTTATTTCTTTTGTATTGAATTTCTTTCCATTGATCTTTAAAATTGATGATATAATTTCACCCTAAACTGAAAATGTTTTTATCCTAATCTGTCTCAACTCATGACTAGCTTCTATTATTATTAATACTTAAATAAAGTGTAGATTTTGTTATGTTTGTCATTTAAAACTTGTAATAATCTTCGATCTACCGATTTAAACACAATCATATTTATATTGTATATCTATAGGCTTAAGAGACAACTCGACTGATCGATGTTAATATATCGTGAGTTACCTAGTTATGAGCATAAAATATTTTATAATGAACTAATAAAAATTATTTTTTTTTATTTTGCTTAAATTTAAACAGTTGCTATTATCATCACTTTTTTTTTCGGCCGATTTCACTTGTCTTTAGTTGTTTTTTTAAATGATTATTATTACTTTTGTTTAAAATTACGCATATTGACAGATTTATTTGAAGAAGAACAATCACCATGATGTCATTGACATTTTTATTTATTATTAATTAATCTTTATAACTTAGTACATAATGAAATTATAGTCACATATTGTAGTATAAGTTAATTTGTGGTGAAATATTAAAGAGGAAAAATGTATTTGTAAAATCTCAGCGAATGAATTTGAAGTAAGTCCAACATTTCGCGTGGCAATCTGGTTCAAGTTTTTTCGAGAAAATATAACCAAATATCAAAATTATCGAATATAAATAGGTACATGGTTCTCGGGTTCACTGTATACTGAATAGATCATCCAATTAACGTTAATAATGTTTAAAGTAGGCATTTGAATTAGTGTGTAAGAGACATGTAGTGGACAACGAAAAGTCTTAAGATAACGGATTGTGTGTGTACGTAAGTGGTGTGAAAAGAAATTTCATTCACGATACATTATCTTTGGTCGGTGAAAATAATGGATTTACTTGAAATTCATTCGCTGACATTTTACTAATATATTCTTCCTCTTTAATGTCTCACATCAATTCGGAGTCTAAACACTGTGAAACTATCCGATCAAATTTAAACGAAAGTTCTTATATAATTTGTAGTGATCTTGTTTTCAATTAAATCTATTGGTCTAATATCGATTTATGAAGCACTGATAAAAAGAATACCTCAGCTCTCTTACAGTGTTTTTTACAAATTTATCAAACGGAATGAACAGAATTAGTTATTATTTTTATAAGGAAAAACAAAATAATAGAACGTAACTGACAGTTCAACTTGTTTCATATTATTTTACTTCACATAAAATACCTTTGATTTTGTTTATTTCATTATAAATGTAATTATTTTCTGAGCGTTTTGCTCAAATATCTTGCACTATACTGCTTGTTTCATAGAAAGCACTCATTCATTTACAATTAGTTCACAAATAACTGTACATGATTTTTATGGCTAACTAGTCTAAAAGTGGTATGATTTTAGCACCTTGTTATAAAATAACTTGTTAATCGTCTTAAATGAAACTATGAACATAATCAAGCACCTGTACCCCTTATTATGTTTCACAAGTTTTATAAAAGTAATTTTCACTAGTTTGCTTTATTATTTAATTTTCAAGAAATCTGTCAAACAGAGAAATGGTATCTAAAAAATAATTTTTGTTCACTGATTATCTTCATTTATTAACTACCTACTGTAATGTTTTTGAAATTGATTCGTTTGATATTGACTGGAGTTCTAATTTCGAGTCATTAGGAAAATTATGATGTTTATGTTAAATTATTTCCATAGATTCTAAATTCAGTTATAAGTGGCATTAGTTATCAATTTTTTAAGAGAATGGTAAAATGTTTGTTTCTGCTGAGAAAGTGTGTGTTAAGCTAATGTGTAGTAAGTATTTTAGTTCAATGAATTTTTTAAAACCTAACTGAAACAATGTTATTTTCTTTTGAGTTCCACCCTTTATATAATGACTTACAGTCACTTTAATGATGCAATAATAATAAATTACTACTTCAGTGCACATTGATACGTAATTAATAGTAAGTAGGTAGGTTTCCCTATTGTCAGTTACGTTATTAATTTCAGTTGGATGGTTTCGCTACAATGTTCACTCATTTGCATGGAGGCTTTGAAAACAGACAAACTCAAGACTTAATTTTTCTGTGAAGGTAGTACTTCTTTTGACCTGCTTTTTTTCAAATATACTCGTCAGTGGTGTAACTTTTATCACTTTTTGTTTATTCGTACCAAGGAATTGTTAACTTGTGATTATAGTTCCATTTGATAGATTTCACCTTTTAAAAGTTTTGGAAATTCTGTATGTTTTTCCATCTCTTTGACTAGTTTGTAGATTACCAAGTAATTTCTTTTTACTTTTCTTAATAATTTATTATGACGGCAGTAATCGGATAGATTTTTTTCTTAATTGTAGCTGCAACCATGTTGTTTGTACAACCATGACAAATTATGTTATTTAAAGAAATTATGGATTACAAAGTGAACTTGCATGCCACCACTCAATAAACATTCTTTACCCATTTTTGGGGGATTTCACTTTCAATTACTGAGATCTGAAAAATAACATACATGCAACTTAATCAACCAGTGAATATCATAGATCACATAACAACTAATTTAACTTGTTTTGAGTTTATATATGTAAAGAATGATTTGTGCAGAATAACATGAATTCATCAAGCTTCTGATAGCTGGAACAAATTGCGAACCATAACATACACTGTGAAACACTAAACTAAGAAAATAGGCATCTCTTTTATGATTCAGATAGTAAAAATCATATAATTGTTTGGTTTTAAATGTTATTATTATCACACCAAATATTTGTAAATATACCAAATATGAATAATCCAAATTTACTAAAGATCAGATTGCCCTTCAACAACGACGATTAATTCTTACAGCATCATATTTAACAAAGAAAACTTTAAAAAAGACGGTGCGGGCAACATAATGGTAGAATAATGTTTACTTAACACTCATTTCATAATACGAAATGTGAGGATTAAATTCCTTCCTAAATTACTAACTCCCTTTATATAATAAACTTGTTCGATCTATCACAGTATAGTTTAATTCTTAACTTCCTAAAATAGCCACTAATAAACATTAAATGTAATAGGCGGACGATGTTCCATGTTTCTTATCATACGTATGAAGAGACTGCCGAAAAATAAATTAAAATAGAACTTGAATAAATCAATAAAAAGAATAACAAGTCTTAAATAGAAATGGAAGAACTAAAGTAATATTGCGTAGGAGAGAAAATGATGAAACTAGGTCAACGAGAACTAGTTACTAGTAAGTCCCAAATACAATACTACATCTTGAAGGGATCTTTATTAGTAATCAAAACATTTCCCAAAATTATCCATCTCGATAAATTGAATTTGTAAATTCCATGAAACTATGCAAAATGTTCGCACATTTTTCAAATGAAAATGACTACTGAATACTTGATTATTTATTTTTCTACAGGTACAAGGAAGCGTCTTCATTTTAAAAGATCGCGAAATTTGAGGATCAGTTAACTTTTTTCTATTTTAGAATCAAAAACTACACAAATTGACCAGATCTGTCATAGGAGAACTAAGTGACACTTAACTAAACATTTCTTCACTCCGGTTTGGCTTGTTGCTTCCTTGAGCTTTGCATTTAAATTGAGTGGAAATTTCACTAACGAACAATTCTTTTATCTTGTATCCAGTTGACATATTACTAGTTTTCATATTATTGTGGACTACATATGTAACCGAATTTTCCTTTTTTTGTCTTTATAACTTTATTTTAAAAAATCATGTAGCAAATGACTTTTGCCAATTTATGATAACTGTATCAAACTAAGTGGACGACTAGGTCAGTATAATTTGAGATTTATTTATTTTAACACATAGATATTGGTACAAGGAGGCACCAAATACATATGTGCCACACAGATCTCATTTGATGTGTGAGGGCTGTGATACTGCTCGGGTGCCCAAACCGAAACAGGTGGTTTTCTTAGGAAGCCACACCTCGAGCCTTTGACCTGAACAACTGACCCACAAGGCAGTGGAGCATCGTAAGGAGATGCAGTCCCATGGTAGCCGGTGACCAACGATTGGTTCATACGCCATTTGTTCCTTCAGGATACTGGAGCTCATGTGCACCATTGGTTTGGGATCCGGTTAAAGCGACGGACATTCGCTTTCCGTCCTCTCATCTTCGTAAACAACACCCCCGCCACGAGAAGGCAGTGAGCAAGACTTCCCTGGCAGAGGCTATATACGCGTGGCCATGTGAGAGTAATTCGAGAGGGAGAGCGGACTCTCCCCACTCTCGGCCTTACCAGGGCGTTTGGGGGCGTATAATTTGAGAGTCCTTATATAATTATGGCAACATTAAATTGCGTTTACATCGTAAGTGATTCAAGCGAGCCAAGTTATTGTAATGCTAGTCTCTTCTTATTTACAAGTTACTTGGCGATTATTACATTCGAAAGCCATTACAGGTAGAAAATGTTGTGCTCTGAGAACCAATGTCAGGTGATAATCTAATATTGATTTCTTCAGGATATCGGCATCTAGAGTAACAGCAAAGACTCACTACAAGTAGAATTCAGAAAGGTGAAACGTCTAAAATATCATAATTAGCTAACTTAGCGAAGCTCAATAACATTTAATAAGGTTTTATTTAAGGACCCAACTTTGAGAAGCAGATAAACGTAAGGACGTGGCTGACCAATCTCAGGCATATATTTATAAATTCATAGTCATAAACCTGAGTTAAGGGAACCAAAACAACTTAGCTCCTGAAAGGCGCTTTGCAAAATCCTGAACTTGGCGTAAGCTTGGAAGTATCGGTTAGTTCGACTATTTTTGGTGACAGGCAATATTCTTGAAAGACAACAAAAATCCTCAGAACTGGGATGAATGTAGTTAATTGGCTACAAATAATCCAAAATACAACAGTGACGGTAGCATAAAAGAATAATGCTAAACCTAGTAACGACATCCAAGTAAAAGCAGTTTACTGAATCAGACATTTGATATCTATCTCCTCATATTACTTTCTGACATATAGGTTTTGGTGAGTTCGGATCTCTAAATTGATGGATGAGTTAACTGCCAAAGCTAATGAAATCCAAACCTATCTAACCAAAAGAAAATGCAAACAAAAAGAAGGGACGAAAGCTGGTATTTTTTTATTAATAGCCACCAATCTATGGTTTAATTTGAACAGAAGGCATGAACACGTGAATAATATTTTATGACAAGACTTATTCTATTACCACCCTTAGTTGAAATCATTTTGTAAACCGAAGCGTAATCCTACATTGTAGATGGTCGAAATGTTGTTGAAGCTCCGTTGATATGTGATAAGGATTCTAGTTACTAAAAGTAAACGACGAAGAATATTCGAAATGCCTTTGCATTGTAAACTGTTTGTAGGACATATTAACCTAGTTCATTATCTATTTAAAACAGAGATGATTTTTGTCCTTTGCTGAAAACGAGGACTTTGAATGTTTTGTGTTCTCCGAGCTTGTTGGTTGATACGTGAAGCTTTTATTGCATTTCTGGAGAATGAAAAAGACACATACTTTAATGAAAATAGAGCCGTTAGGATTTCCCACAACTGACTAACAGTTCATTTTGTTGAACATAGACAAGTGGTTAGACAACGAACTTTGTTAATAAGTGAAATTCGAAGCAATAATTTAAAATGATATTTTAAAATTTGATAGTGATACTGTCAACAGGAAATGTACAACTAGCTGAGTTTTAATAAAGACAAAATAATGAGCTTTTAAAATTACCACAACAGTTTAATGTGTTAACCCGATATCTCATCACTGGGTTACAAAGAGGTCAGTATATAGACGAAATGAAGTCTCACTAAGTGGATCTTTTAAATAAATAAATCTCAAATTGTACAACTTTATTTATCTTAAGACAGTAATAACAAAGTTCAAACTCCTATAATTTTCCTTAAATTAAATATGCAACAATAAAAAAATAGTCTGTAAATATTGGTTTGTTGCTGAATCAGCCAGAAATATGTGTAATTAATTTACAGATATACGTAATAATAACATAAAACATGTCAATCTGGTATTTATGATAGAATAGTGAAAGAAGCAAATGTCACATGCAAACACATGTATATATGAGCATACAGATTATGGTAAAAATGATAACCATTTATAGTTAAAATAATTAGCTTTTTAACTGTTATATTAAGATATCCTGAAAGACATAACAAGTGGTAATGTAACATGAAATATATGAAAACATCAATCGTTTGAAAATGTATTTACAAATGTAGATGAGTACTCGTAACTACTAGATGAAGGACAAGTAGAATTTTGATTATTAACATTTTCCCAATCTTGAAGAGCTGCTCTGCATTGATTGACAGAAAATTCAGCATGCATTTTAATCCAGTCATAATTGTCAATTTCATTTAAAGAAACCCTTTGACTTGACAGCTTTTTAAGCATCTAAGAATAGAAATTTAAAAGCCATTAACAAATAATTTATTGAGCAGAAAAGAACTCATTTGCAAAACACTATAGTAATTTAACTTCCTCGAATATATTGTTCGTATGGTGCTTTATCGTTAGCATGATCTAACTTCACATAACATAAACTCCACTTATAACCAACACTACATTCCTAGCAAATTATTTTCGATACAATACCGACGGTATCTTAAAGTACACAGTAATCAGCCAATAATTTAAGTGAGAAATATCAAATGCTATCATTATTAAATGAACTTACACTAGTAATAAGCTTCGTCGCCCCCAGGTTTAATGTATCTGGATATGAAACATCAGCATTTTGGATCTTTTCGGAAATCTCCTGGAAGGTTTCACCATCAAAGGGTAAATGACCGGTAAGCATCTCGAAAGTGAGTATTCCCAAGCTCCATATGTCTACACGATGATCATGAACACACTCCAAATGGAACAATTCGGGAGCCAAGTAATTGAGCGTACCAAAAGTAGTCATACGTCTAATTACTTGTACGAAAAGAGGAATAAAACCTACCGTGAAGCTGGTAAGTGCACTGCGCTGCCAAAATCTGCAATCTTCACTTCACCGCGAGCCCCAAGAAGTATATTTTCTGGTTTGATATCCCGATGTATAACATCATTTTGATGACAGTAAGAAAGAGCTTTGGAAAGCTGGTATACGTACTGTAAAACATGAACGACATGCCTTGTTATATATGTAATTAAAATCAACTTTATAAACATGAACATTACATCACAAACCTAAGCAATTAAATATGAAACGACTTATTTGTGCCACTTAAAATGATATCATGATTACAAAAGCATCTAGGTGATGTTCACAAGAACTTCAACTAAGTGTTATCGGGTGCAACCTCTTAATATTTACTTGAACATAAAAATTATGCTCAACCATTCGTTGTGTCACTTTGAGACAGAAATCAGGTGTTTCGCATCCTAAAATATTTATAAAAAGTCAACTCTTATTTGTTAGACCATGGATTGAAAAATACTATTTCCTCTTCATTATGAAGGATACGGTGATATCTGTCCTCAAGTATCAAATGTTGAAAAATATTAAAAACACTGGTATGGTAGTTATAAATCATAATACCATGTAAAGTTAAAATTAACGATAATAATGTGAGTAAAAGGAAAGAAACTATAGACTGTTTATCACCAATAAACAGGTGCGACTACAATTTACAACAAACAGGCGTGAGTTTTTCGACACTAATGGGAAGGGTTTCAAGGCATATACCAGTATTCTTAAAGACAGATTATCGCCTATTCATAAACTGTGATCAGTCAACCGTTGACTACTGATGTAGCTCAAAGACAGATAATGGTGACTGTCTGCTGTAACTGTGCTCAGACAATCGTTCATTTTGAACAAGCATTAGTTTTAGGCATAAGGAGCGACATCGTACAACATAGCGATCCCCTGAACCAAGATCATGGACTCAAATAGAGCATATAGCCATCAGTCATCTTTGAAGAGGCTCGATAGAAGGTTGCCGCTCGTTCTGGAATACACGTTCAGACTCTGATCATGCTTTGATATGAGTACGCATTTGCTTGCACCTCAATGGAAGCAGGAAGGCCATATTAAGAAAATTCATTAGAACTTAACTCAGTAATAAGAAAGCTAAAGGTAAATTTCGGGAGCAACTGAAGTCACACATAAGCGATTTCGAAAACGCGACTGACACAGATGTTGCTTTGGAAGATATAGGAACAGCTGTGGAAACGGCAGCGACACCTATCAGTGAATTTCTGCGACATCTATCACAATTATCCCATCAGGCTCTGAACACAACACCGAAAGTCTACGGAACGATAGTGAGCAGTGGCAAAAGAGATAGAAAAGGTAGTCTGTAGGTAACACAAGGTAGCTTTCCAGAATAATACGACAAACCGGAATTAAAAAGTCAAGTGTGAGACAATCTTGGGTAAAGACAATAGTCTTATCTGCTCTCAGTCTACACGCCTAGAAAGATGGGGGGAAAACTAAGAAGCAGTTCAGCTGGC